TTTTTTATTATGTGTAATCTGCGAGTTAATATGTATATTAAAAATTTCGCTTTTGCTTGAATATAATTTTTTTGTCATTCGCGACAGCTCGACGCGATCGAAGCTCACGAGACCTCGAATGCTGCTTAGACGAGTGAACAGTGATTTATTTCTCCCGTCTGCTTTATTTTCGTCACCGGCGTGCAGCCGGTATCTTCCCAGGCTAGTCCAGAATATACTCGGATACATCCGGATGAACGATTCACCGAAGTCGTTTGACACTCAGCAGAGCAACCACGTGCGACTGGTTCTTGCCTTTGCGAGACGCCGTTTCCGGTACGTCGTATCCGTGACGGAATAAAAAAATATTGAACTTATTATATTTGATCTAATTCAAACAATATTTTGAAATATGTATGTATGTATAATATTATAACTTTCAATAAATTAAATCATTATTTTATCATTATTATTCCTATTTTATTATTATCATTATTATTTTATTTTATTATTATAATCATATTATTTAAAATATATATTTAGGAATTAATAAACGCTATATGTATTTAGAAATTAATAATCAATACTTAAAACTGTATTTAATAATATGCACTGAGCATATATACAGAGATTGCACTCGGTTGCGTGAATGAATGTTTCATTGCCAATCGTATATCTATAACTGTCTCTTCGATATTCCAATAATCCGTAATTTGAATTGTTTAACGAGTCATAATATAAGCATTTCAAATGGCGCTGTTTTTATTCCGATTAATATTATTTGCATATCGTCGAAATATGCATGAAGTTCTCGTGGGAAGAAAAAAAGCATATATATTTCTTTTTTATAATTCAGATAGAATTCGAATAAAGCTGGCTTCATCGCACACTTATGAGAACTTCAATTATATAGAAACTATCAGAGGCAATATTTTTGTTCGCCTTTGGTCTAACCAACGATATGCTCACGCTATGTCAACCTAACTTATCGCATGTGTAGCGTAATGCTCGACTTAAAAATGACGACGCCGGCTATTTGCGAGACATTCGGCGAATAGGGTCTCCGTAGTAAGAGCTTAATATAGCGCGGTCATAAGCCTCGAATTCTGGGCCAATAATGTCACGGTTCTATCTTCTTCTTAGAAACATGCGAAAAAAAATCCAATCAAAGCATGTTCGCGATCAAATCATCATCTAATGAGAATTATAGTTATTATTAATAACTATTTTTTTATAAACTACATATACAGATCTTATTTTCAGTTATAAAATAATTCAATAAAAAATAAAAATATAGATTATTTGTATATATATAGTGTATATGTACTTATTTATTTGCAAAAGAAACAATTCGTTGAAAAGTGATATATCTATGTATCCATAGGAATAACGGAAATTATGATCTCATCTAGTAGTTCAGAAAATCTTTTACTCTGGTTTACACAAAACGCCGGCGGATGTAAATTTTGCGGAGGATAAGTGATGTAAAACAAACGAGCATCCGGTGTACTTGACCGTATTGCAAAAATATGTAGAGGCACCCCCGCAGAGAGTAAGCGGATTTACAAACAGAAAGCCAAGCACGTGCGAAACCGGAAGTGTTGCGAAACCTATAAATTTAATCAACTTTTTATTGTAACTTTCTTTTGCGTATTTATATAATACTTTATTTACATTGTATCAAATAATTTTATGCTATTTAAATGGCTAATTATATTGTTAATTGGCAAGATATTTAACTTTATATAATTAATGCTTTATCAAAATCCTTTATCAAGGAATGTACTCTGAAAGTTTCTCTGAACCAGGTAAGCTTTGCATTTTTGCAAAATTAATCAAATTTTAAATTAAAGTAACACTGATTTTTCATTTTTTTATTTAATTATCAGACTTACCAAATTAGAATTTTAATTAACAAATATTTGAAATGACAACTTTATGCTCTTGTTGATTAAAATTCTGATATTTACGAAACGCTATTTACGAAATATGTATGATACCAATTACAATGTATCTCCTCTACGGTTAATTATCACTTTGCACCATTCACTCTCTCTATGGTCAAATAAAACAACATTAATTTAACATGTTACATTAATGATTTACGCGTATATGTATTTTACATGATATATAATTAAAGATATAATTAAAACTGGATGCCTCTCATGCTTCGTTATATCAAAAAGGATTTATGTGTTCAATTAGTTTTTCAATGAGATTGTCATAACATTTATCCGATAATAATATCATTGTGACTGATTTAATACGTCAAAATTAATGATAGGATACGATTAATTTTGATTTCTTTAAGGTGACGGAGAATGTTCCGTGACAAAGAAATTGACATAAAATCGATTTCGCGTATACAATAGCATCATATAAGGGTCGTTGAAATGGGCGTTGGCTTTCTTTCGAGCATGAAACATTCAGACAATCCATTTTGTCTATTACGAGCTTCGTTGGATAGTAACGCGACGTACTTTTGCAAACAAAACTTTCCTTTGGTCGATAAGAATCATAATCCAACTAGTTTCCATTTTTTGCAAGCTTCTTCCAAATATTATTATTTTTAAAGAATGCTATTATTTTTTCACGCCAAAGATGCTGTTCCCTACATTAAAACAATTATTATATTTACATTTATATCGAGAAACACATTATTTTATATCTGTTAACAAAATATTAAACAATTTCCAAAATTCAATAATATATTCAGATCAAAAATCAAATCGAATGTTCCTTTAATTGTAGTTCTTTTAATTCGTTTATTTAATCAATTTTTGTTAAAGAAAAGATATCGAGAAATTCATAATTTATCGTAATTTTCCAAGCTCTAACATTATATATCTTTTTTTAACTTAAGCCGTGAATTAAGATTTTGTTAAATTTATTTTAGATTAACTGAAGAATGTCCTATTATATGTATTTATATTTAGATTTATAATTAGCTCGAGAAAATCTCTTTAGCTTTATTCACTAATTACACAGAGACTAATAATGTCTCGACATTTTTACTAGGGAAAAATCAAGTCTAAATTAGCGAAGAAAGCGTGGTTAAAGAATGCGGTGCATTACTGGAACAATTTCTTTTGATTTCTTCTTATATATATGTATATTCTCCGAAATTTTATCACACCATAAGATAGTTGCAAAAACTTAGAATAGATTGTTTAATACACAATACTTAGAAATGTTATAAATCTCTAATATAGTAAGTCATAAAAAAATTAACTTCCTATAGAGACAAATTACACTGTGATTATCACTTCCGCGTATTGTTTTGCGAGAATAATATTCTCGTAATGCATGTCGCTCCCGTCAGATTGTCGTATAACAAAATCATCAATTTCATGAGAAAATGATAAAAAAACTCGTTTACGTAATTACACGTATATGTAATCCTCGCACTCTGTAGTGTGTTAAATATTTAAATTACCCGGAAAGGCAGATTTGCTTCGCGCTTCCTTCTCCTCCCTCCTCGAAAGAGAGGGAAATCTCGCAATTCGCGGTCTAATGATTCGACAAATGATCTCAGCAAAAGAATCTGTTTGATTATCTACGGCAAATGCAATTTTAAATCTAAAGCGATAGTTGTCTGATGTCCGACTGAATCTGTCATGTATGAAAAAGTACTAAAATCTTTTATTTTTGAAATATTATTTATATATTTTGTTTATATAAAGAATTCTCTTTAACTTCTCATTTGCGTCTATTACGCGCACGTGATTAATGTTTGTAAAGAAATGATGACTCAATCAAAGAATAGCATTTAGAAAAAAAAACATTTAGATAATAGATAATGGAATATACTATAAGTATTAATTTATCATTGGAAAATCAATTATTTTGTTAAATCGAAGAATTTTCTGTTTAAAAATATATATGTTAAGTGACATAGATTTATTTTAATAACACTAACACACTATTTGAACATTCAACGACAGATACAGAAGCCAACAGACATCGGCATTCAAACCAGCGTATTCGCAGTTGAGAAAGTCAGGCGAGTTTCGCAATGTCCAGACACGATTCGATCGAGCAAAGAAGACTGGATGTCGGTCGCGTTCCCCTTCACCAATCGGTTGACCACAACTCAAACTCTGACTCCAGTATGTCACAGAAGCACAATTTTCTTTAATATTGAAATTATACGTTCAATTCTACTTCCCGATATACCGACATTTGTAATCTCTTCTTTAAAAAAAATGTCACTGAACAAATAAATAAAATCCGATATGATGTTCAAATCTTATCAAACTAAAATGTCACATCAAAATTATATTTGCATATTTGATGTCTTTAATATATGAATATGATTAGTTACGCGTAATAGAAGGGAAACATTTTTTTTTTTAATTTCTCTTTATGTCGACTTTTATTTACAGCTATTTATTCAGTTCGCAAAGCGATTTGCTGATTAGCATGAACTGGATTAGCATATCTGCATCATAAATTTAAATTTGCAAGTTTATGCTTCTAGACGTGTTTGTCTCAAGAGTGCTTTAATGTACGCGCATTTCAATGTAAAAAAACATTCCAGAGAGGAATGTCTTAGATCGAGATCACTGCCTAGCCACTCCACGCCCTTGCTAGAGATAGTAAGAACAAAAGCTTAATGCAATAATCCAAAAACCCCGACAAATTCTAAATAAATTGATGCATAGATAAGCGATAACCCAAGCCATAAAACAATCGTAAAACTTGTAAGCTTAACATATTATGAAAAATTCAAGTGATAATAAAATTATTGGTCTGACAAATTACAAAATTGGTCATCTATGATCGTTTTACTTTTTATAGAGAAGCAGAAAATTAATGAAAATTTGAATTAAAAATAAATAATATTATCTTTTGATATTTATATAAACAAAAGCAAATTGACACTGCTTTCTTACAATTAGCATGTCAATCTCCATAATATATTTTATCCCGCGATAGGCGTCCTTCGCGATAATACCCACATCTCTAGCATAAAACGACACTCTATCCGCATGTCCTAGATCCATGTGATTAATACTCACCTCGGTTAAAAGAATCAGCAACAGCAGGAGGATGCCGCTGAATTTGGATATCGGTTGCGGACAGGAGACTTTGCGGCACGTCATCTTTGATAAATATAAATTTACTCCGAAATCCTTGTCTTCCGGAAACAACTGTTCCTGGTCCACCGAGACACTCACTGGCACCTCACGTAATTGACTCCCACGAATACACCTCCGATTAAGTAACGAGGAATGCGCGAGGAATGTGCGTGTCACATCGATCGATCGACGACTCACTGGGACTCACTTCTTCGTAGTCGCGCCGCGCGTGTAGTATCACAAGAAATCGCGTATCCAACTCCGGGCACCTCGCGGTAACACCTGTTCGGTCGTTTGACAGCTACGCCGATCTCGGACGTAGTGACGGCGACGATGGTGGAGGAGCCGAGGAATCGCGGTGGTAGGAACAACGGCTGCCATATCAGCCGGGGAACCGCGTGGCGTTGAGTCTTCTGACTAAAGATACATGCGTTATCACGAGTTCGAAACAATGATTCAGTTGACACGGGAACCTCGAAAATCGCCGCTCTCAGTCCTTGGGCTCTCCTCCTTCTCCTCCTCCTCCCCCCACTCGAATCCGACGCATCCACTATGTCAGGTGTCCCGGAGAGTGTTATGTAAATTTTTAACGGGTCGATGTAAATTGTTTTCCTGTATCTTAGCGCTCACTTTTCATAAATTTGACATGCTAGTCGCAGAACTTTTGTGCCAAATTGAAGTGGTTCGGCTTCGTTACGTTTATTTATTTTTTTTTTTTTATTTTTTAGATATATATTCAATCGTGGAATGCTGCCTGCTTAATTTTGATTATCGTGCGTTTCCTTTGTGTAAAATAATTTTAAGAAGCGGACAGTAATTGATACACGTATATATATACAGATAATATATTTTCTAATATATTCATGTAGTACTTTTCATATTTTTATTTCATATTCATCATTCTTATTGTAAAACTTCTTTCTATATTTTGATCTATCTAATGTTGAAGATGTATATCGGCAATTGATATAATTATATTAGCCGAAAATAGCTGCCTTTACTTTACCTCTTACGCGTATCGTATCTTTTCATTCTGCCTCTCTTCATGTTGTTCAACGGAATACCGGTTCCTTCGCTCATTAAAGACCAAACAGCTTTGTTTTCCTTCACGTTACCCTTGAAGTGACGTAAAGAAATCTTATATTAATGTATGTAGCGAGAATTGAATCGGAAGAAAGAAAATGCGATTATATAAATTACTCCGTTTTCTCGTGAAAAACGCACACTATTGTATTATTTCTACTTATATGTATTTATTTAATTAGTTGTCTTTTGCATTTCCTTTTCTCATGGCATTTATCTATTCACAAAACGGAGCATGATATCGACTATTCCTCTGGACTGGATTATTTTCCTCCCTTCGTTACTTTGCAACTTGAGTACTCCAATATGTGGAACGGAATAACGAACTGCAGGGGTGGCACCCTCCGGCGCGGTCAATGTGACAACAATGAGGTAACGAAGCAAGCTTCACAAAACATTGAAAATAGCTGCGAGATTGCTCGGTGATCGGAAACGTGTGATTTTGTCCAAAAAAAGGCGATCCTTGTTTTCGTATTATTGCGCCGATATTTAATTGTCATTTAATAATAAGATTTTTAACTGCAGTCTTTTACACCATATTTGTACATGTATCTAGATATCTTGTATCTTACTTCTATCTAATGTCACTGAAAAGAAATATTACGAGTTCAAGCTTACGACGGAACACGATACGGAATATAAGTTATGGCCGGATTATGAGTAGATTAAATTGTTCTGCTATTTCATACGTCCAGTTACAGAAGAAACTACTTCCGTTATTCTATTGCAACTCACGTGCAAGACATTACTCGTGAGAACATTTATGGCGCGAAACGTCAAGTCAATGACACGAAATTATCTTGAATGATCCGTCAGGAATCCCCATGAGAAATGTGAGAAATGTCGAATACAAATGCTCGTTCTTGCTTAACAAAGAAGAACGCATCTGAGCATTATTTCGATGCCATTGTCCTTGCCGCTCCCTAGACCTTTATTTAAATTGGAGAAGGATATCGTCATGGAACACGAATCTTTCAAAAGACCCGGATTTCAAGTAAACACCGTACAACAACACCAACTTTCTATAAACGCACAAGGTGAGTCTTTCCTCTGATATCGCGTGATATCAATCAATCATTAAACATCAAGGACACTGGCCGTGCTCCACCTTCACCGCCCCAAATCACGATTTTTTAACGAGAAGAGAAACAACATCCGTCAAACTCGCGATCTTGTTCATAGGTAAAGCCGCTACTAATCTGTCTGTCATCTCTATCATCCTGAGATCCTGATAAACACCTGGGCAAGTCCCTGAGAGGTCTCCGCGTGTGTCAACGTCGAGCTCCGAAATTGGATGGAGGCGCGACGTCGGTGAGAAAGAATCGGGAGAGCAAGCGAAGCGTTCAGCGTGCTTTCGTACGGCCGTAGGTGCACTCGGTCGACTGGCGCGCTTTCATGACGCCTCACCCGATGCGGGTGATCACCAGGGCCAACGGGACTCTCGGTTGCTCTCTCAACACTCCGCTCGTGGCTACGATCGAGGCAGCGCCAGGCTAAGCCGTTCCCTGCCTCGCCACCTCACCCCTGCCACCTCGTCGGGCAACCTGGCTGTCTTTCCATTCCGACCTGGCTCTTTGAACTTCTCTCTCTCTCTCTCTCTCTCTCTCTCTCTCTTTCTTTTTCTCTCCCACCTGCTTCGTCCGCCTCCTTCTCCCCTCCGACCTGGCCTGCCCAGGCTAAACATCCAACGCAGCCGCCATCACTACTGCATCCGCTGCCTCGGACTCCCACCGACTGTCGAGCTTTCCTTCTCTCTTTCACTCTTGCTTGCTCTTGTCATGTATATTGTGTATACACGTACATGGTGTGCACGAGTGTGATATACAGACGAGTGTTATATAGTTGTGTGCCGGTGAGCCCAGTAACGTAGCTAGAAGAAGATAATTCAAGTTGCAAACGAGATAATGAATGAATTATTTGTGAATCTCGGTACAAACAACTCATTGTATTTGCTACGAATACATTTCATTTCATTTCCTGCAGCTGTCAAATAATTTGCTGACAATCATCTTTTTCCGATATTCCCTTCCTGTATTGCTAATAATGATATCTAATAAAACATGTGAATATATCAGTAATAAAAGTGTTAAAATAGATGAACACGATACGGTATCCTTAAAAGACTCTTTAAAATGGCAAAAAAAATATATATATTTGTTCAAAAAAAAATATGAAAAGAAATTGATTATTCAATATCTAAATGCCATATTATATAATAATTATTTCAGTTGAGAAATTTATAAAGCAATGAAGAATTCTCTCGCAATGTAGTTTTACGAGAAATTTATTTATCAGAACGCAGACGATATATTTACGTAATAGATGTAACACCGAAATATATTGCCCACGTGTCACATCAAATGATAGAAGGAAAGACTCTGTCAATTCCATGCAATGACATTTAAATAGATGCGACGTCTCTCTCCACGGAGTTCGAAATCCCGAACGTGGCATCTGTAATCTCACATCCATGTTGACGCATCTCTCGCGTCTTCTTTTATATCTTCTTTTTCCCCGGGTAACACGTCATTCCCTGCCCTTCCCTGACATGTTCCCGAAGTAAGGTAAAACACTAACACACATTCGCATCCCCTCGCTCGCTCGTACGAATAGAGCGAGCGCACTTATACACGTGTACAAACTAACGACCACACACGTACATCTCTCTGCCACCTCCTGTTTCTTCCTCTCTACCAGCATCTCTTGCTATATCCTCCCTCAACCCTCGCCACACTTCGCCCTCTGCGTTCCCCCGGCCTTTGCCCTCCACAACGTTGTTCCTGAAGCGACAGTCGCCACCTGACACACGTACGCGTGCGCGCACACACACGTAAGCACATCTCGTCGGTGTCTACCACCTTTATTCATAGAAATCGTTGCTTTCCCACACCTACGCAGGTAGCTCTCTGCGAGTCTCGAAGTCAGAAACGTGGTTAGCGTAATTAGCGCCCCGTTATAGGCAACTGTCAGTGTTAGAATCTGTAATTGTGCGTGTTTAATTCCGTGGAGGAACGGCAAGGGATGAAAAAATCAATAAAGCTACGTAAGTATTTGGCCTATTCCCTGGAAATTTTATTTCACTTTTATCTGTAACATAAAAGCATAATTATTATAAAAAATGCTGCCAACTTTCTACGTTCTGTTTCTTTATAGATGATTTATAAGCAGCTTGACAACTAGCAAAATAACAGCTCAACCATCTGTCACTCTCAGTAATAGTAAGTCGAAAATGCGTTCTAATTTACATCATCGAAATCACTTTACTTTCACCGCTGACGTATCTTCTGTAGTATAAATTCACGAATAAAATAAAAATTTGGAAATAAGCTCGTATATTTATCCCTCCTCATCCTTTGCCTAATTCACATCCAGTATAGGTGATAATGTAAAATGATGAAGAAATTGGCAGACACGTATAAACATTTCCATATGGATTTAAAGAGAAAATTATATTAACTTTTATACAAATAAAAATATGTGGAATTCTACACTCGCTGAATATTGTTACAATAAATAAAATAATATCACCGTATAAAAGCTCTACTTTTTCAAAAATAATGATTACTTTATAAAGCTGAATTTACATCTATACAAATCGCATAATGATACGTACGAGTCTGTTTTATTCCATTCCATTACATACAATTCTGATAAGCGAAACGATTCTGTTGGCGACATCTGGTATTACATTAGCAGGCAATATCAGCGTCTACTGTGACAATTGTTGATTTAAAGATACAAAAATGGAAAGATAAATGTAATTTTATTTATTACAAAAAAATCAAATTCTTTAATGATAATAATAAAAAAGAATATATATTAATAAAATATTTTCCACGACTTTTTATTTATTTTCGATGCTTCTTTTTTAACAACCGACGGTAATAAACGTACCTGAGAGGCTGAATAAATCTAGTGATCAATGAAGCGATTTCGTCATTTTCGTCAATGACAATTGGCTATAGTTATTCAACTACCCACACCTGAAATAAATATGTATGTATACCTGTGAATGTATGGCGAGGGCCAAGAAAACTGACGTCAGCAACAGGTTGAGGTATCTTTTGTCATCTTTTACCTCTCCTCATCATGATGTCATCGTCGAAGTAGTTGGTCCGCAGGCCTTTTATGAATAGATCTCAACAACAGCTTAATTACAAAAAAAAACATTTCACATGCATCAGTTCTTTATCAATGTTTTTTATATTATGATCAAATTCTTTTATATTCATAAAAAAGTACTGATGATCAAAAAATCAAAACAAGATACCAATAATATAGTATAAACTACATATTAATCAAATAAAATAATATTATAATCATTACTAATATAATTATGGAAATAATTTTGTATTATATGAGATTATATAATTTTATATTTTTGTTGCAATTTATAGTTATTAATATTTTTTGTTAACAACATGTGTGTGTGTAATGTAACAAATTATAAATATTTAAAAATTCAAGATTTTATTTTATTCAGCTATTTATCAATCATATATAATATGTATAATTTAAGTGAAAACTATAATCACCTTGCATTACTTCCAAGAGCATTTTCAAAGTATTATGTTTTTTTTAATTATGTTATATTGGCGAAAATAATTATGATTAATTTTTATTTGTATATATCTGTCTACATTGATATATATTGTCATCGTTCAAGAGAATTAAAAAATGTATTTGATATTCTATAAAGCAGATTTTAATTTAAATAAACGATTACTGTTTCATATATCTAATTTATATCGATATTTATAGAATTACCACTTTTAAAAATAATTACACTAAAATAAAATTTACATTGACGGTAACACTTCTAAGACATAATGATCTTATAAATTGAATAATGTATGACCTTGAATATAAAAGTATCGTGATTTTTGTAGACACTTTGATCTGTCTACATTGATATATATTGTCATCGTTCAAGAGAATTAAAAAATGTATTTGATATTCTATAAAGCAGATTTTAATTTAAATAAACGATTACTGTTTCATATATCTAATTTATATCGATATTTATAGAATTTTCCACTTTTAAAAATAATTACACTAAAATAAAATTTACATTGACGGTAACACTTCTAAGACATAATGATCTTATAAATTGAATAATGTATGACCTTGAATATAAAAGTGATTTTTGTAGACACTTTGACTGAATGGGTGATTAAGCGCACCTAAACTGGTAAAAAGAAATACAATTCTTAAACAATCTTTAAACTGTATTGTTGTCTAACTTTACATATGTTTAAAAAAATCCATACACCAATCTCACTGAAATTGCAATAAAGATTAGATGAAAATTAATCATCTCTTTGTCGATCTGACGCGATTCTGAATGGACATCAGACCGATGATGTTTCGTAATAACGATGATCTCTCGATCTCGGAACAGATGATCGAAGATTTCTACGGGTCGGGGACATCTAACATTTCGCGATCCATCGCGCATGCGCACGCACTGGTCCTGTCTACCTACGACGGATTCTGGCGAACGGCACAGCAAGTGTAACCAGTTCTGGGCGGACGGTCAATCCGTTGCCTCGCTCTGTTTCTCGATTAAGATCGATCGATTGGACTCGTCGTGTGAGCAAAGTCACCGGGAAGAAAACAAGCCGAGAAAAAAAGTGATTTAGTCCGTGTGCAAATTTTGGATTACCCTTTTTCGCGAGGTAAGAAAATAGTCGTTGTAACATTTTTTAGAGTTTGCTAATACAGATTGAAAGCTTTTACTGATACAAATTTAATTTTATTAATTTAGAATTATTTGATATAACGTAGATAATTTATAAATGTACATATTAATACAAAAAGACTTGCCAAATCGTCTGAAAAAATCTGAATCTGAAAAAAATATAGACATATATTTATAAAAAGTATTTATAATAAATTTATAAATACCTATAAAGAGATTGATAGCAAATGATTCTTTATGCATCACCTCATATTAAATATGGCAAGGAATTAAAAATTGAAAGTATTGCACAGATTAAAAGCTATAGATTAGAAAAATTTGAAACACTTGAAACTAGAAACACTTGAAGCATAAATAATAAAAGTAACTCAAACAAAGTTTAGATATACTGTATCGTATATTAAACATACATATTTTAGTAATTACTAAACAGAGAAAATAGCGATATCAAAATCGACAATTAATATTAATTATCTTATTGTAGCGTAGAGCTTCCCTCTCTGTGCAATGTATCTATTTCTCTTAATTTACTATTGATACACTGTGTTATCACAGCCCTATGTAAGTAATTAATCTTCCGCCACTGAAAAAGCCTCGGTGCCTTTGAATGACTGCAAACAGTGACCGTCATTATGCTACACATGTCATTGGTTAACACGCCATGATTCCTGACGTTACCAGGTTGAAAAAAAGTTTATTCCCACTCGGAAATTGTTCATAAGCCTCGTCGCGAGTCATTATAGCGCAAAATAACTTAATCCAGTATCATATGTTAAGAATTGCATTCCACATTATATTAAAAAATTATGTATTAGCTTTATAAATTTAAGGCTGTTAAGTTATTGTGAAAAGTGTTGCTCTTCAATAATTTTCAAGTAATTTACAAGCAAAAAATATATGTAATTGAAAAAATTTACTCATGCGTCATATTTATTTTAAAAACAATACGAATTTTTTCCAAAATTTTTCACATTTTTATATATTTATTGTGAATTGAAATTTCATAATCATTTTATAAGAATTATATATAATTGTACAAAATAAATATATTACTTTTTAACATAATATGCAAGAATCGATTATCAAAAGATTTTATTTTACAAGAGAGTATTTTCTCTATATAAAGATGAAGTTTCCGAAATGCTATAATTTATATGAAACAATCTGATATTAATTATAAGCCTACAATACCGATTGGAATTTGTCTCTTCAAGCGTATGTAATACGGTAAGCAGATGATCGAAGATAGAGAAGGAAGGTCGAATTCCACTTTCCATCTTCGCAGATCTCTCAGCCATGTTAGGTGCGTTTTAAAGACTGCTCAGAATAAATACCAGTATGCATAATTCATGCGTCGCTACAGACGTGTTACAACCTTCATTAAGAGCTTCGTAAGCCATGCATAACGCATAAGAATAACAATTATTAATAAACTGAAACTTTTTGATATAGTGCAATATTTTATTACAATTGTAAGAGATAATCTTTAACATAATTAACAGATTAATTAGAAGGGAAGATAGAAGCGAATTTTTTTATGTGTGTTGAGATTTGAAACAAAATGATAATCCTTGGAATTGTTTCTTACTTTTATATAACTGTTTCGTTTCCATCAGCATTATTCGACACACGATATATTACTATACAAAACAGATTTGTAAAAAATAAATAAAACAAATTTATGTGCGTGCAGCTGGGCTAAGAAAAAAAGAGGACGCCATGCAACGAAAGTAGAAGCAAAAATAGGCGCAAAGCCAAAAACATATTGGCCCGTTGTTTATAACGCTTCTTACCGTTTAGTTGGCATGCCAAAAATAGACGCCGATATATCTTTCAGCGAGTTTTTTTGCGATGACGCGTAAAACAATTTTTACGAAATTTTACAAGAAGATGATTGTTTAATACTCCAAAATATTGTTCAACGTCGAAACTCTGTGTATATTATATGTCTATTGAGATAAAATTTATATAGAAAAAGCATTGTCAAAATACGTCCTCTCTTTATATCTTTATACGTTTAAATTATTACAAATTACGAACGATTACACAGCTGCTGAAAACGGTTAATGACAGTCACGTGTAGAAATTTTATCTTGGCACAAATTTTGTTCTATGTACGCGCCAAGATTCATGCTTTGTTTGTAAATGTTTGCAAAATAGCGTTAACTCTATTACTAATTAAACGAAAAATCGAAAACATCATCAAAATGCCATTAAAAATTTATTGCCCATGTAAAATGCGCCGACAGCAGGAAATTTGTTGAGAAGCAAAAAAGGTGGATGAGTTATATTTAAACAGGTTAAACACACGCACACAAAGAACGAAGAATAGTAGCGAAGGAGATGAGAATGAGAGAGAAAATGAGATTCTGGGCGCCAGTTGGCTGGACCACTGCCACCCACGTAATGTCAAAAGTCGCCATTAAATATACACGAAATTGATATTATATTTTTTCCTCATTTTTTCTTGCGTATGTGTATATATGCGTAATGTTTATAAATGACTGGCATAATTTGTTAAAGTTAATGTCTTATGATAAATTGACAAATGACAAAGGTATTTTTTTCTAACACCTCCTCCAAATTCACTATTTTATAATTAACTATATGATTGAATAGAGATAAAAAATATATGCTGTAAAAGTAAACAGTGTGTTGTATTTTTTTATCTTTTTCTATCTTTATGTGAAATATTTGAAATTTATAATAAAAAAATTCACATTATATTTAGCAAACTGCCAATTATAATCTTCTTACTGTTCTGTTAATTACATACAGTTGATAAAAAAATTCGATATAATTTGATAAGTTCACATAGTTGAATTGATCGAGACCGTCAAGATGAATACTTTTATGTGATTTTTTCTTTCATGCAATGTGGTCATATACCACGAAATATCGGACGCACGAGAATTTCTCATTGAGTCTCGAGAACTCTAATAATCACGCACGTAATCAGCGGTAATATCATGTTTCAATTATGTTCGAGTTATCAGATCGAAATAATGTGGCACAAGAATTTAAATCGATACTTTCAATCAAGTCTTGCAATTTATAAGATGATAACTTCTCTCATGCACGCACGCACACACACACAAATCAACGCCATTTCAAATTATGTATATCATATTTAATCTCATATTAAAAAAAACAATATTTTTTAATAGTATAGAATCAAATCATAATATAAAAATTTACTTACTTTTATTATTCAGTATATTAAAAATATACTGAAATAATCTTTCTCTCTCATATGTAATAAAACTTTTTTTCGACAGCATCAATAAAAGTAAGATATATGACTGCAAAAAAAAACTGTAATTTTTGGGGACAATTATTTGCAGGTAGTTTTCTTTCTCAAAAGTTTCTGACAATCTACTGATAAAATATTATTAGAGAGAGAGAAAATTAGCTTTTATGAAACTGCCATTGCTTTCATAAATATTTTCGACATTCGATAAATACCACCGAAATATTTCACAGATCTTTGAAATTCGATAAATATCCAATAAGAGGAAACCGTTCATATAAAACCTATAATACTGATGCTTACAGTCGTTTGCGCAATTGCGTTGTGAATGCAAACACAGAACTTTCTCCCGTTGACACAGATGTAATCTTGTAATGTTTATATGTTTTCGCTGTTTCAAATATGTCGAATAAATATGGCATTATAATCAATGTGATTCTGTAATTAACAACATTAGTTATCATCAAAACGCCGTTATGTAGCATATATCTGCACGTAGTATGTTATAACATAGAACAGTGTATTCATAGTGTAGCATTCTAGCAGTAGCAGTGACATAACGTAATCACGCAATATTTATATTGCACTTCTCTCTGCACCAAGTTGCTTTCTGCAGCAGAACTAACTTGGGTTCCTTCTCCAACCAAAGACTTGACAATTAATTGCATGAAACTTCAAGCCTTCTCATGTAGTATATAGTATAGTCTCCAGTGTTCAGTGACCTCATACTTTTGAGACAAATTATAAATAAATAATGTTTATGATCGGATCCGTTAATTTATCTGCGAGATTCTATTTTGTCCTGATAATAAATTTGCTTTATTCAACAAAGTTCTCCATGATGAAAAAAATATAAAATGTATGGTGCAACATCTGCGTATCTCCAGCTTTAAATTTGTACCTTGTTAAAACAGTACAATATTTAATCTCTCGGTTCTTAAAACGTATACATATTAATGTTGTAATATGATTTAAAGGGGAAAGGGTGTCATGTTTCTTGTCATGCTTTTCGACGAAAAGGGGCGCATAAATTTTCTGAAAGATTATATATCGTGTGGACCAAAGGCGATGTAATTTCGCAGTGTGAACGATCCTTTTTCTGTTTCTTTTCTCTCCGCCCACAGCTTCCCCGTGTTCAAATGAGACGAAAGTGATTGCGCAAGATTCGCGATCAGTAACGCGCAGGTGCTCTGCACGCTGAAATTATTACTCATAATTCTCTCTCACACATACACTCTCTCTTTCTTTATCTCTCAATGGCCGAAAATACATTTGTATACGTGTAAATTAAGTTCGCAATTAAAAAAAAAAAATGGACAATTAACATATCACGAGCTGTGAAAGTTCTATCATACTTATCGCTGTGTGAAAGATTTACTAATTGAAGTAGAATCACACGATTAGATAGTCTTCTTTGAATCGCAGCCACCGTTTCGATTGACACGATAACCTTGGAGGGCGCGGTACAATGTCACTGACGATGACCGGGCTAACTATCTGCTTAAAGCAATTGCATCGCGCGCTATCAATGGCGTAATAGCATCTGATGATTATATGAATTCGTCCAATTTGTGCTTCCAAATGTATTGTTTGAAGATTGTAATCATTTTATCGTTTTATGTCGCGTTATCAATCATCACATACGCGTTTTGTAAACATACGTTAAAAATGTATCTATTAATCGAAAAGATAATTTTATCGTACGAATTCTTTCTCTACTGAATAACACGCTCGTATTTTAATTACGCCATTGCAATCGATGCTCATTCGAGCTGATCAAATAGTTACGTGTGCTCTATATTAAACAGGAAAGACGCGGCATACTTTAAAATCAACTCACCGTCTGGAAACAAAATTGTGCAATAAAATCCCCGAATGACACAGATTTTTTTATTACGTTTTTCTAGTTCTTGATTTCTTGCGCGCGCAAGTCTATTCGACTACTGAAATTATGTGTGTTATATCTGTAGACATCATACATCATATAAATATAACTGATAATATTATAACAAAAATACATCTGCAAAATTAATGAAAATATAATTCTTAAGTTTCTAGGCACATATAATTTTTATTAATATATATGTGTCACATAAAAATGAACGTAAACATTAAAATCATTTTTGCATGAAGACAATATATAATATACTGGAAAATAATAACGTTATGAGAATTTTACTTTGTTAATGCTTGAAAGTAATAATATATATTCATGCTATAGTATTTCTTAGCTGGGAGTAAATTGCCTTAAATGGTAATCTTATACGTGTGTACAGCTCAAGTGCCATTAATAACTCGTAAGTCATAATCAAGGCAGAGCGATATTCGTCGCGGAGACACAATACCCGTAATTGACCTTGATCCGCATTCATCTGTCCTTGGACCACTTTGCCCAAACTTGCCTTCAATAAAAAGTCTGTCATTGTCAAGAACTTAGATCGAGAAACTTCTTTTTTTCTCTCTTATATCACATGATTATCTATATCTATATGGTTACTCGCGTAATAGTCAATGAAATACGAATTCCAGAAACAAATTTCCGTCGTGCGTTTTGAGTTTTTAGAGGCGATCGTACAAACCACTTTAGCTGCCGATTCTTGGAAGGTTTCCTTGGCCCGATGGCCTCATTCGCATTGATGCCTCCACCGGAATAAATACAAGACCATTTGGCACTTCCGCCGATTTAGACTTTCCAGACTGATCTCATCTCTTAGTCCAGTTTCATATATTTTAAACATAAGAAATCAATTTCTATGAAACTCGACGTTATGACATTATCAAAGTGCAATACAATGGTATTTAATAATGTGAAATATCAGCGCACAAAATCATTTAAGTTACATATGTCATGTATTCAAGTCTTTTCTTCAATATATTTTGTCAAATAGTCAATAATATGTTAAGAAACTGTTTTTACAAGTGCGATAAAAATCATATATGCGCGACGAAAATCATGAAACTACACCCACTCGTGCCTAAAAGTGATCGCTCTGGTCGCGAGCCTTGTCCATAAACCGGCTTCGAGTGGCGAGTGCGAAAGTTTCTGCGAAAGTCTGTAGCGCTATAGAGATCCAAATCTTAATATCAGATCTATTTATAACTCCAGGCTTCTATAAGTAACGCGGTTGTTGTAAGAAATATCTATCCACGCTGTCGTTCCAGTTACTCGACTACCAGAGATCTGAGAGATAAATTCGATGAAACGAGAAATAAGGATAATGAAATTAATCAGAATGTCAATCAAATCTCTACGTTACTCTATTTAAAAACCTCTAATTTATAAATAAATTTTGTGAGACAGGGCTTTAGAAGAACACAATGTCAGCAGCTGTAAGGGAGCGGACGACGACGCATACCAGCAGAAAGATCATGAGTCATGGCGGTCCTATATCTGGCCAGAGAGACGGAGCAGCAACGGCCAGCAGCCTCGAAAACAACTTAGGTAAACCTTTAAATGTGCCACCGGAGATGTGTAACCCTATCTACCCGTTGTTCTCTTTTCCGCCACATGAGCCTTTTTATTCGCGACATTCTCGTATTTGCAAATCTTAGCATATAAATTAGGTACAAACACACTCACAAACACAGATTATCAAACTTTTAAAAATACAACTACCTTGAGTTATCCTCTCTGCTACTACTGGTCGATATAAATTGATATTCCTGATAGTACATGCACATTTCAATCTAAAACAATACGAAAGCTTAATGCAGAGAGAGAAGCTAGACATAATATTTTAGTTGACGTCAATTGTAATTGTCTGCATATATATTTGGATTTGCTTTCTCAGCTCCTTTATTTTACTTCATGCTTCGTTACAGCGGTGTGAATGACGACAAGTTAAATTGGTTCGTTTGACTCTTTCAGACGCACTTCTCGAGGATCTGCAGACGAGTGTCTCGAGAAGTGCCACTCCTAGCCGAGACAGAGCACTCTCACCCCAAGTCGAATATCGCATAGCTGCCAATCCTACCAGAGTGATCTCCGAGGGAGGCAGGTGAGAGAACAAAATAGTTCAAACTAGACGATAATTTGAACTAACGTGTCTTTTTGTTTTATTCGATGCGAGTATATATATACTTTTCTTATATATAAAATATATAAAAAATATATTATAATAAATATACAGATCTATAAAAATTGTTTTTTAGACCCATATCTCCAAATCGTACAAAAGTAACTACCACCGAGAAATTTGTGAGTACTGGTCCAACCGGCACGTCCAGCGGTATTCCGGGATTAGATTTTCTAGATGCGGAGCTGCAAAACGTGAGTTTTCCAATTAAAATAATGCATGATTAAAATATAAAACTCTATACAAAATATCGTAAGCTCAATAATCAATGGTTTACAATGATTGAAAAAAATAATGTAAGAAAATTCATATGTGAGTCATATCGTTTAGTTTGATTCAATATCACAGTGCTATTTGTCAAGAAAACAAATTTTATTATTTAAAAAATGATAAAATGCATGCAATATAAAAATCAAATCAAAATCTAGTAAGTGTAATTTGTAGTTCCTTTTATTATTTGGTATAAAAATTAGCCTGGGGATAAAATCTAAAAACAGAAAAAAATTATAATCACACGTTGGACGAAATTACGTGGACGTCAATGATGATAGTTCATGCACAAAAAAAAAGTGTACCGCGATCAATGCATGCAAGAAACTAGTTTCGCATACATCATATGTATCTCCTTGCCGAGATTACTAAATATGTTGTTGAACAGAAAACGACCATTTTAATTAACTGATGTTAAAATTAAATGAAATTAAATAGAATATATAAAATGTATAAAAATTCTCGATATAAATAGCTGCAAGCAAGGAAAAAGTAAAAACTCTATTAATAAAAACTGTATTATTTAACCAACACTCTTCAAAATTGTCGACAAGATCTCATCTCAATTATATTGATTTAATCGTTTCATTTCGATATTTCGAAAAATATACAATTTTACTGCCAAATATAAATTGTAATCTTATGTTCATTATACACATAGCTTTAGTATTTAAGGATGATAAATGAATAAAATATCAATATATTACACGTCTCAAAACATGAATATTATTATTATTAATAGGGTTAAAATTTAATCAATAAAAATTCGATTATATGGTAGCGTTAATAACTTATATAACATGTGTCTCTCGTTATTATATTTATCAACAGTATTATTATTGATAGAGATTTTTACGATATCTGTCATACTGTATAAATTAGGCAGATTTTTAATCGTAGAATATTAATCACATACGTTAACACCCACAATATGAGTTTTACGCGTCTCGCTAAAGTTCCAATTATACGCCACGTAGATTGCATCGTTTATATGTTTGCCTCGAGATGCAAGTGCCGTGTCGGCGCATCTAACGAACGTTTAATCTTGTCTCCTTATAGTGTTAGAAAGGGAAACAGAGAGACCGCGAGGAATAAATGAGATCACACCTATACTTGAAGCCGCGAAGTAATCAACGCGTCTCGTGTCACATCTCACATTCCTGAATATTCCGAAAAGAAGAAAAAGAGCTAATGTTAAGAACAAAAATAGATTCGCAGACAGTATAATTTCACTATAATAGTCGTCCGCGTGGCTAACTGACTTGTCGAATCACAATCATCTGATAATCTTTCTTTCACTTTTGCATTTATTTGTTGACCTTCATGCAAGGCTTTAAAAGATACTTGAATAAATTAGAATAGTTGCAAAGAAATATATAGAAGTATTAATAAAAATAAAATGTTACCGTAAATTTCAGATTTTTCCTTGTTTTAATACCACAGATATAAAAAATGAATAAAATAATTAAAATGCATAGCGCTCTATCAGTGTCATTAGTTTTTTGACATACATGATGGTACGTAGATAATAGTGATGATTAGAATTTGCATTCTAAATATACGGTTGAGCGTGACTTTTCTAAAAGGTTTATTAAAGTCAAGAATAACAAAGTATTTCTCATGCATCCTCGATTTACTCGATCGTATAGTCTGGTAAAAGAGAAACGCGTTTTAAAACGACTATGCTTTACTCGGTAAAGATTTTCTAAACAGCCTGGTAATAATACTCTGCCACATTTTACGCGATATATTAAACATTAGAAAATCACATTGGGGAGGATCAAGCCGAGATGATTGCAACCTTGATCATACGTCTTGTAATCTGGCATCCAATGGAAATAAATTGGTTTGCTCGCGCTCCTTACGTGCTGGCCGGATGTTCGAACTAATGGGCTTTTAAGATCTTTAAACGATGCTGTCTATCGTCATTTGATAGAAAGATAGAATATATAACAAAACAATCTATAAAATTCCTACGCGTGTTACTCATATCATTTCGCAGTTTGTGAAAAAATTCGCTATTAATTTAATCGCATGGAAGTAGCGCGACGTGTGCGCTTGCAGATTATATTTCTAAAACGTAAAATAAAGATGTTTCATCCTGTAACATACTTCAATGATTATAGTTTTTCTGTAGAATTGAAACAATCATCGGCCGTAAGTCGTTCCGCGGAATTTAATCGCTGTTACCGATCCGCCCATGCGTTACACGTGGGATAGTCGTAATCAGAGTCTTATAAGGAGAGTCCCAGTGCTAACATCACCCACGCATTGCTCGCACTAATTTGTCATGATTGGATCGCGATGCTGCGTATAAAAAGGGATGACCTGAATGCCTATGCATACTAATGTAAGATTCTGCTTCGTAACATCCACTTTCCTCTTGTATATTCGCAGGTCCAACCCGGTCAAAGCAAAACAATAGCGTACAAACAGGTGTCGTATCAATATAACAAGGATTTGGATGGGAAACCAGGTGAGAAAATCTATATATTTGCATTAAATGCACGCGAATAGTATGTAATATCACTTATTACTTGTGTTACGTATGCGATTACATATGTATAGCAAAAATCGAAAAACCATAGCAAAGATTCAGAGATTCCTTGAATTGTCCGAGATAAGTAACATGTCGGTCGCAAACGTGAAGCGATCGTGGAAGGTAGGAGAGCCGGTTGCTCATGTCGCGCCTTTTAAGGCGCGTGACGGCCTTGCTGGTTTACGGTTAATTGATAATGAAAAAAATCAAGCGGATCTCTCTCGCAGATTTGAGCGCTATACATAATCTTCAATGTAACTTCAGTTGTATTGCGCAAAGAATATTGGCGAGATCGAGGATATGAACTTTACTTACCTTATACTTGCTCTCGAGAGAGAAAAAATAGAGATTGAGTTCCGGCAAACAGAATTTACGAGCGTCTCCAATTTTTATAAAATTTAGTAAAAATATTCCGAATAACTTTGAACAGGGGGTTACATGTGTAAGCATTTTTAAAGCAAATTTAATTTGAAATAATGTTGAAATATAATTTTAAAAAAATGTTTATAAATTGAAAGAGGAAGTACGAAAGACGCCCGCAAACATTCATCTCTCGTCTACCATCCACCAAGTTTTACGAAAATTGGAGAAACCTTTTCGGGACTTTATTTACCTCTGTTTTAAAGAAGCATGTAGTGGGAACGAGAAAGTTCTCCTTGTGTCTCTGTATTTGGCAAAGACGGTACGGTCGTAGTTCATGTTCCTTGCGGTCACGTATAATACACAAGCGTAGCCATATTAGGACTGCTTATAGCAGAAGGTTGACCTGATTTCTTCGTATCTCCGCTGCTCTCCTGAAAAAAAGAAAAAATAAAAGAGGATGAGAACACACGGAAGATAGAAAGATAAAATATGTAAAAGATCGACACAAGTTACATATTAGAAAGGACAAAGAAGGACTATCGGTTATCGGATCAGTAGGTGAAAATATTTATCGACTAGAGAAGATGACTTTTGTCAGCTAGCTATAAAATCCATTGCCAAAGCAGTTGACATTATGAATTTCATAAGATTAAAATCAATGATAAATTACCGCAACATATAATACTTCATTATTTCTCGAAGTCTGCATAAATTTACATTGATAATTTTTTATAACTTTTTATTACATCATCCGTCTGGAAAAATATCGCGCTTTTCAATCGCATATGGTAGCGTACTAAATGATTCATTGTTTCAGATTCGTGGGTCACGTCAGAAAACAAACGGGCTCTTACTGGCGCGCCCTTGATGTAAGTATATAGTGCTGCCTCATAAGTCCCAAAATACCACCGATTTCTGAATGAATGCCAAACGACTTGGTCGCGCAGAGCACGTCTCTTTTTCCATCAAAATAGAAATAAACTCAGACATTCGAAAGAAATTTTATTGCAGATATAATACAAATAAAAAATTTTTTATAACTACATTAAAATTGCAAAATACATATATGAAAAAAGTTTATGTGTTTACAGTGACGATATCCATGAAACTACTTACGAGGAGACTAAGACTCCAACGACGTATACATATCAAAGTCCAGAACCGATTATTAAAAAAACAGTGGTTAACAGAGAATTGGTAAGTAAAAGTATATTATTGCAAATATAAATTTTCTCTAATATTTTAATTCATGATTTGTATTATTAAATAAAGCATGAATTTATTAGCATCTTAACGGCAATGTAACTGTATTTATTAGGTCTATGGTGACAATTCAACGTCTCGTTCGAAACAAACCTCCCCTCTGCCAGGAACTCAAAGGGATGTTAGGGATGTCAAATATATTCACGAAACTAGTACGTATCTTACAAAAAATCGACTATATACATACATCTTAATCTTGACATTGAAATTAAAGAAATAATTTTCTGCTTTCCAAGGCTATCAAGCTGATCCGCGATCAACTCAAAGCGCATTAACTACAGCGCACACGAGCACACCGCAAGAATACAAAACCATTGAATACGTGCCGGTTCCGTCGCCAACTCCAGCGATACCGATCAATCTGGCACCCGGTCCAAACACAAAGGTGACAACAACGATCAAGACGTACACGTACGAACTGCCAGGATCGCCGGAATCGTATCTACCAGGTGGCAGTGTGCCAGGAGGAAATGTCGTTCTGCCCGGTGATCAAACCATCACGTACACCCTACCAGGTAGAACCAGCGGCGCCACAACTGCTACCACAGACAAGACGATCACCTACCAAACCGTAAGTGAGAATGTACCGGGACATCCCGATACACCGATCAGATATAATAGCCCGTCGAACGATCTCGAGAAGTCCACGACCATTCACAAGGAGGCAAAGTTTTATCGTGAAGAGCATCACGACGACCGTCCCGGTTGGAAGCCTTCCCACGTTTATCGCAATGCACCGCTGCCAACAAATATGGAGACCAAGACCACCGTGACCGAGAAGTATTACCAGGTCGACGGTAATTATCCTAATGGCCACGGGCCGGGCGATCGCCCGGATTATCCCGGGAGCACGACCGTCATATACCAGAATCAACCACCTACCGTTGAGCACACCAAGACCATTAAACGGATCGAGGAATACAGATCTGACAGACACTTGACGCCTGATAAACCGGATACACCAACTAGGATGACGACGACGACCTATTACCCGCAACAAGGTACACCCAATACGATTTACAAATTTTCGAATACTACGACGACAGTACCACCGAGCAAAAACGCGGACGATCACGAGGTCCTCTTGCCGAAACCGTTTCCGACTGGTGTCCGGATGTATCCCGCTAAGCCAGCCACCAATGGCGAAGGACCACCGGCAAAACTCGAAGACCTCATGGCTTCGTTCTCCGACTCTGAGGTAAAGTTAACTGTAATTAGTTAATATTGTAATTAATTAATACTATAATTATTTAACGAACAAAGATAAAAGTTTCTATGTTTTATATCGTTAATTTAGCGAGAAGTATTGGAAGATATACAGAGGCAAGAACGCCAGAACAAAGAATCACCGTCTAGGAAGAAAGAAGTCGATTTTGTCCCGCATACGCCGCCAAAGGTCAAAAGCAAAAATGTTGCCGGCCCACCAGTCTATTATCCTCCTGGCTCGGCGGAATTTACCAAGAAGGAAGAATCTAGTGCAGCCATGTCACAAGCTGGTGTAAGTTAATTATTTAATGTATTATACAGAATGCTCCTAAGTTTCTAAGTAAAAAATTTTTCAATTACGTTAAAAAAAAACAAATGTATATAATTCACAGTAAATCCTAATAATCGTTCAAAAACCACTCTTCGGAGTAGGAAATGATAAGCACTTATCCAAATTTTCATTAATTTTTATATTGCAACATTATTTATCATCAATCTAAAGAGAGAAAAGTACTCTGCGTCTCTTGTATTCCTAAAAGCAAAAATTTTTTTGATTATATTTGGTTTTAATCAATTCTTATTTACATCGTTTTTCAGGGAGGATGGCAGAAGGCAAGTGGAAAGTATGAATACGAGGCTTCCAGTAAAAGCAAAACCAAAAGCAGCAAAGGAGGCGCAGTCGTCCCAGTTTGTCTGCCGTTATGCTGCGCATTGCCATGCGTTATTATGTAATTTAATTTTTGCATTAACATATATTAATTAAGCACATGATATGGTCTGAAACATGTAATATAATCAGAAACAATATAGCCTGCAAGAAACAAATCAGAGAAAGATTTAATGCAAAAATGTATAGTTTACGTTTAGAGCACGTTATAAGTTCTTTTTTTTATATTTTTTCCTTTTGTCAAAGTACAGTTATTTGAATTGCATATTCTGTTTTTTCTTTCTCTTTTTCTTTTCGAGTTCTAAATGTACACTTATTTTACTTTAAATACAAAAAATCAGCTGAAAAGCACAGACAAATATGTATATGTGTTAATATTTAACATATGACAGATCATTTATATAATAAGCAAATAATCAAAACAAATCTATCATGAAAGAGTGATTTTATGTATTAACATACTTATAGGTATATATTTCAGAATAACAAATGTTTAAGCTATATTTATTTATATAATTTTAATTATTATAAATATCTCCCCTATAATGGCAAATTATTAAGATTTTTTAAAAATATGCTGCAATATGAAATTTGCTTTAATTAAATATATAATATAAAATGTGTCAAATAGCGCCTTCTTTAAATTTTAGATCTATTATTATACATTNNNNATTATAATTTTTATTAATAAATATATTTTTATATTTTTATTTATATTGCCTGTTATGTTATGCAAATATGAATTATATATGTATATATATACATATAACATTGCTAAGTTTCAATCAAATTGTAAAATTAGTGTTAACATTTTGCAAAATAAATAATAACATTCATTATAATTTTAACAAATAAATATTTTTAGTGCCATTCTATAAGAGATACTATTACTTTTTTCAAAAGTAATTTATTAAAAATATGTATGAAGCAAACAAATCATGACAATAAGTACTGTAACAAGTAGGATAAATAACTTTTAATTATACTATATTACCGTGAATTATGGTGCTATAATAATTTTAGTATTAAAAAGAACCATTTAAATGAAAAATATATCATTGCAAACATAATCATGTATATGCCTCTGTTTCTGAACACAAATGCTATTTGTAATTATATGTAAAAATTGTATTATGTCATATACAATAACATGTTATATAACATGTGTTGCATATGTGTTAATACGTATGATAATAGATTGTATTTTAATAAAATTGACATTTTTAAATAATGATATTTTTCCACTCATGCATTTTATTCATATGCGTTTTTCTTCAGAAAATGTCTTTCTAATAAAAATAAACTGCATATACTATAGCCATACAGAATATAGTATCCTGAAAAACAACATGCAATTAACTTTGGAACAAGAATATATGTATAAGTATCAAATATTGTATGACAAAAGTTAAAAAAGATGTATCTCCTTCTTACATTGATAAAACTATCATAAGCATATGTATCAGCTTCTGCATCCCAGATGCATCTTGTGCCTATTTTTACACCCGCACCATGTTGTTGTCCCAAAACCACATTGACAATGTATTTATATCTTTTAAACTGTAAGTCTATAAAATATGTAAAAAAAGAATATATAGAACTAAGTATTTACCATAGAACTTTAAATGTGATAATTAATATAAATGTAATAATTAATATAAATGGTTTATAGATCTGCAGAAAAAATGATAAATATTACCTTTGATTCTTCTTTCGATAACATCTGCTATATCTTTGGTCCATTGAGCAGCTGCCTGTGCATCATATGATTTCGTAGCGAGTTGATCAAACAATACATCGTGTATTATCTCTTTTGCACTTAGAGGTTTAAATCTGTGTTAAAAATGTTTTAATGTTATTTAATTAAACTCAGAAAAAACCATTGACCACATTAATAATGCATTTAAAAATATTTAATTTAAGAATATATTGATCTATATCTTATCTTTTAAATCAAAATCAAAGCAATTTCTTTCTACAACAATTTTTTGTACAAATGCAAATTTTTTTGATTCTTTTTTTTAGTGTTTTATATGTATAATATATTATATATAATATATAATATTTAGTTATCATTATATATTATATTAATTTATTGATAGGAGAGACATGACTCTTGATTTTTCTTGGTAAACCGACTTACTTTTCATGAAGATGCGGTCGAATTTGATAAACTGGTTGCCGAGCTGTTTCCTCAACGTCTTCGAGAACCTCCAAATTCACATCTTTCTTTTCCTCCTCCTGTGCTATATCCACTGCCTCTTGCACCGGGTCACGTTTCACAGAATGCGGTATTTGTTTCTCTTCTGCCATTTATGATTAATAACTTTACAATTCGTATGTTCCCGTATAAACTGCCAGTGCTGATAGTTGACAGTAACAGTACTGAAAAATCATTTATATATATTTATTTTTTTATTCATATATATATATGATTACTAATAGTTAAAACACAGTCAATCTTCTGTCATGTAACATATACATACACACACAAATCACCTATAAGAGTCATTCAGCTTGTTTATCAATAAAGGTAGCCATATTGGTATATACAAACAATCCGACACACATTTATGTGCCGTATATATATGTATTCTATATCAATAAACTTCTATCTAGGGTGCGCTCGAAAATCCTACCCATGGAGTAAAGTAGCATTTGATTGACCAATCAGGACAAAAGATTTCCTTGATCCTGATTGGTCAGTTCAATGCTATCCTATCCCACGAGTAAAATTTCCGAACGCACTCTTACTGTGCGCGTATTAATAATAATATGCTGATACATAATAAAATGCCGAATAATAAAATTGAATAGGTTTGTTATTTTTATCAAATTATCATTTTTTTAAACAAATATAAAAAATTAGTAGGGAAACATCTAAATTAATAATTACAATGACATTTTGCACATATGTTCAATTTATTCAAAATCCAGACAAATCCGTAGTAGAAGGAAAGAATGAACGCAGTACCTGACCGCGTTCCTTGTCTATATACAAGGTCTTCCGTTTTACCATTATTTCGTGTTCAAGGGTACCTCTTGTCTCGACTAATTTCGCCTGAGATTCCTCAGCGCGTTTTAATTCTGCCAATATAGCGGAAGTGCGTTCGCCAAGAGATTTCACTTCTTCAATAAGACTAAAGAAAAGTTTTTAATTAATTAATTGCTTGCGTTTGTTGACAATGTTTTATTAAAATTATTAACTAAATAATCATTTTTCTTTAAATGACTTACGCAAATTGAGGTGCATCTCGACAACTTTCAACATTACATCGATTCAATCTATTATCCAATCTTGTTTGTGCTAATTTCATGGCATTATTTAATCCTTTCGTTGAATCCCGAAGTTCTTCAATCAGTTTTTCCGTACTCCCTAGTTCATCCAAGCACTAAAAAATATTCTTCGTTAAATTTTGCTTAAGTTTTGTTTCGTGCGTTTTATCGCATTCATATATCTTACGCGAAGTAATTCCTTCTCTAATTGCTGAAGACAATCTTGCGTAAGTTTCACGTTTTCCGCGAGTGCAATGTCAACGCAAGTTGCTTGATCGCGTAGGTCTTTAACGGAACTAATATATATTTTGTTCAAAGTCGATCTTAAATTTATGGATCTTTCTCTAGCACTTTCGCCGGCGGCTAGTGCTTCTCGCGTGAATTGTTCATAACTTGTAGGAGTTGACTGACTAAAAAAAAAAGTAAAATATTCATGATATAAACTGACAATATTGAAAGTTCGTCATTAGTAACAATAAAACTATTATTCTGAATTGAAAATAGACGATTATCTCGGTATTATTAATTACCGTCGTTATTTCTTATAAAAATTTTACTTTTTATAATGTTCTCTTTAATGTCAGCCACGGAAATATAAAGCGATTTAAACTTACTCGGCTGGAATTCTCGTAACTCCAGCTTTCCACAACAAAAGCGGAGAATCGTTAGATAAATTCACACACAAAGAGTCTATGTTATAAGTATGAACTTTATCAGACCAATCGCTTTCCATCCGCGCCTTGACGGTCTTTAATTCAATCATCTGCGTCTCAATCTGTTCGTGAGTTCGACTTAATAAATTTCGTATCTCGGAACAAAGCGCTATTTCCTGAAATATATAATTCGAATTAAAAGATGAAGAGATCATTAATTGCAAATTTTGGCGCCAAATTAATCAAAATTCAACCTTTGTTAGTTGCTCCTCAACGTTGTCGCGGACGAGATCCGACTCTAAGCGAGAGGAGCGTAACTGCAAAAACTCATTTGCGATAGATGCTGGAATGGTCAATATTGACAAAGATCTCTGTACTCGACGACGCTCAGCCTCCAACAATCCTATTTCTTCCACGTTGGCAGCGATCGCATGTTCCAATTCCGCCTTCCAATGATAGACCACGTTAGCCCGCGTTTTTAAATGTTCCGTCGTCTCTAATTGCGTTTTATCAGCTGCTGCGTACGTTTGTTTTACGCATTGCTTCGCATTGCTGGCCGTGACTCTAAAAAATTATATTTTACATCAAATAATAAATATATAATTTTTTTTAATGCAATTGAGTTTATAAGCAGTGTATTTTAATTATACACATAGCATGCTTTAAATTTAGTAATCTTTTACTTATGGATTCTTCAATCAAAATATATAATTCCAAAATAATCGTGAATTATATATATAATATATATATATTGTGTATAATATATATAATATAATATATATTGTGTTGAAAAAGAAAGAAAATCATACATACTGAGCATCACAAATTTTCTCATTCGATTGCTGAAAGATATTTAAATTATGCGCCCGCCATTCGCTTGGTCCATAACGAGTGATAGAATATTGATCCACAACTGGTCTTAAACCTGTGATTCCACCTTTAGTAGAACACGTTACACAGCCTGTAGCACATGAACCAAACGGTTCAATCGAGCATTCAGGTTTCAATGGATAATCATCCTCGGGCTGAGGTAAATAGGACGGAGGTTTTTCGATGTTGTCACCGCATCCATCTCCGCGTTCCATCGTAGGACTCGGTTGCATTTTCTATTTCGAAATTTTTGTGAGATGAGTGATAATAGATTGTATTTATAATGTGATACGATGAATAAATACAATTATTCACAAATATTCACGCCATTTGATTCAGTTAGCTTTCTATTTGTCGTGTATATGTGGTGTACGATACACACGTGTGTGGTGTAGTTTTTCTGCATTTTATACATATATGTGGAATGAGACATATCGCTGTATCGGTATACGCATGTATGTCGGTATAATATATGTAAATAAATAACTTTAAAAAAAGCTTACCGCAGTTTGTTGTGAAATAAGCTGTGAAGTTTCGACCAAACAATTATTATGTATATTCGAAATAACAGACATTTCTTGAAATAACTATAATTATATGCACACAAAATCGCATATATCTTATCAGCGTTTTAAACTTTGTGTTTTATAAATATATTGGAAATATAACATGTGTTTTTTAAATGGTAAATTTACACGCAGTAAAATATATGAATTTCCGTGAATTTAAGCCGTCACTTCTGTATATACATATGCTAAGGAAACCTAACTTATTGATTTAATATAGCATAGACGCGCGCGAGTTACTTCATTTTCTTGTAAATAACAAAGTACTTTTTAATTAACCTACTCTGTATTTTTATGCTGTCAAAGCATAAAGTTATTATTTTTAATCAAAAAGATATGCAAGTGACTAACTTCGGGATATTTGCATATTTTTCAAAATAATGTATATAAACGTTATCGCGTTATGTAACGTGATATGCTTTTAATGCAAAATAATATTATGCATTCGATTAAAATGTTTATTAAAAGATAATCCTACTGCTCTCGCATGAACTTTTTTGGACCTGTACTTTATATATATAAAAAAAATATTGATAACTTATTGATATTGTTCTATCAAAGCTAAGCATGCGCGAAGATGACCCAAAGGTCTCTCTATCAAAACACTGAGGTTGCGATATCTTTTATATTATGTTATTACCAGATGTGTAATTTCTTGATAAAGCGAATAAATATAATATTAAACTCGAAAGCTCACGATTTAAAATAGAATGTTATTTAACAATATATTAAAATCGGTAGCTATGACATGATTGGACGATAGATAATTTAAAAAAAAGATAAAGATCTAATACTATAGGACTACTATAAAGCGGCGTCTACAATAGAGATTTTAAGCCCTAAGCCTTAAGAAATTGACCAATCACAGTCAAGTATGAGGAGAATATGATTAGTCAATTTCTTAAGGCTTAGGGCTTAAAATCTTATTGTAAACGCCGCTTAACGCGAACGATATTTCTAAAATAGTAAAACCTATTCGTGGAACCTTTTAGGGCAGTCCCAAGAAGACGCTGCTGTCGTGAATACAGCACTTTCTCTGCATAGAAATAATTTTTGTATTGTATTATTCTCACTATATCAATTGGCACAATTTAATTATTAGATAAATAATAAAAATTGCGAAGCAACAGAAAGATTTATAATTTCTCTTAAAATTTGAAAATATTGCATGATCGTGATTGGATCGCAAGAAGAACAAGCATACGGGTAAAAAAACAATAGAAAAAAAAAAAAAAAATTATATGGAAATTATAGATATGAAAAAATAGTTCATCCTATTTACATATATTAGCGATATGAATATTGACTGCGTTTACCATAACTTTAACATTTCAATGTGACTTTACGCCATTAATATAAACAGGGTATATAGTATATATATACCGATTTAGTAAAAATGTTTTTGTCGAGGTTTCAGGAATTTTAATTACACATCCAGAAGAACATACAGGGATATAAAATAGATACCCTTCTAATGTAATTATAGCTGATACTTACGAAATCTTATCACGCGTTAAAAGTAATCCAGTTGATAACGATAGCAGCAACGTACAAAAATATTATTCCTCGCTCTCAATTACTCACCAACTATCGTCGAATACAGACATTGTTGAAAAGAAAATGTCAAAGCAAGTGGAAATTAAATATACCCAGGTAAGTTGATATTTCGCATTATTTCATAAAATGCGTAACGAGATAATATGTCTTTCGAATAAATATATTTGTAGCTTTTCATCGATAATAAATTTGTGGACGCTGTGAGCGGCCGTAAATTTCCCACAATAAATCCCGTTGATGGTAAAGTCATCGCGGAAATTTCCGAAGGAGATAAGGTAAAATTATTTGCGTAATATCATATATAACATAAACATTTGATAGAGTATTTAGCGCTAAAAATACAGATAAAATTCTATAACAAAAAACCGCAGATGGCGATTTTTAGCAAATTTCCATGCTACTTTTCTCAAAATCTTTAATAAAAAATCAAAGTTGATATTCGAAATCTTTATTTATTCCAAGTCTGTTCAATATAAAAGAAGTAACAATTTAAGGTAACATCAGAAAAGAATTACACAAAAGTAGATGCTTTATTAATTCTTGCACTTAGAAATTTTATTAAGTTCCCATTTATGATTTCAAGAAAAAGCTTTAGAATCGGAATGAAAAGTGTTTAATCGACATGAATAAAAAAAACTTGAATTTGTCAAAATTTGAATATCGGAAAAGAATTTGATATTTTAGATATATTAGGAATACCGAATTTTGAATGAAAAATGCTTAATGGATATAAATCGAAAAACTAAACTAGTTGAGAGCGATTTTCAGTTTTGATAATAGATGACTTGCTTGTTTATTTGTCGTATGCGGTGAGAGGAGTATTATCTTATCATCTATCTTCATTCTCTTTACTCCTAATTGTAAATTTTTATCTACAGAGAAAATAAATAATGTCTACAGAATATATATACGTGTATATATATATATATACATTGGTAGAGATATTATATGCTGTGTATATATATATATATATACACACAGCATATAATATCTCTACCAATTTTTTTCCATTTTTATATATACTTCATACATCTTCGTCTCTTATAAAATAATTGTGCATTTCTTAAAAAATTACTTGTTTGCTTTACTTAGCAGATATATAATTCGAATGTGCAAAGCACATTGAATTATGTGTATCGTTAAATAATATAAGAAAAACTAATTTAAATAAAAAAGAAGAACTATTTAATTATAGTTTGAAGAATAAAATTTTTGTAGGCTGATGTGGATAAAGCAGTGGATGCTGCTAAACGAGCTTTTGACAGAAATTCGAAATGGCGTCAAATAAATCCATATATCCGTGGGCAACTCATACACAAGGTAGATTATACCATATGGAATATAACTAATGCAAACATCAATTACACATTCTGAATAAATATAACAAAAATTAATAAAATAGTTGGCAGATCTCATCACGCGCGATTTAAATTATATCGCCACTCTTGAAACTCTTGATAATGGAAAAACCTACGCAAATGCTGTAGATGATATACAAGCAAGTATCGCTTTTCTTCGTTATTATGCAGGCTGGTGTGATAAGATACATGGAACCACTATCCCAACAGGTATTTGTATTTTTCAAAATTGTTTATGAATGATAACTTTGCATGTGCGATTCTGTGTATGATTACTCTTATAAAAGATAATATAATATAAATTTGTATGCATAATGTATGATCTTATCATTAAATCGAATGTAAACTGAACTTTACTAAATTTCACATATACCAACCGTTATTATTTTTTAGTATATTCATAAAGTAATATATGAATTATAAATTAAATAATAGAATATAAGCAATTTTATTTATTATTTGACTAGGCGATACTAACGTTACATTGACACGAAGAGAGCCAATCGGCGTTGTAGGACAAATTATTCCTTGGAATTATCCCTTCATGATGTTAGCTTGGAAATGGGGCCCTGCATTGGCTACTGGATGCACTTTAATCTTAAAACCAGCAGAACAAACGCCTTTGACCGCACTTTACGCAGCCGCTCTTGCTAAAGAGGCAGGATTTCCAGCAGGTGTTATAAATGTCATTCCAGGTTACGGTCCAACTGCTGGTGCAGCTATCGCTGAACATTCAGAAATTCGTAAAGTTGCTTTTACTGGATCCACTGAGGTACTCACATCTAAATAAATATTTTATATAATAATATACACAATAACTAATACACAAATAAATTATATTTTGCTTCTACAGGTCGGACATGCTATAATGGCAGCTGCTGCTAAAAGTAATCTTAAACGTGTCAGTCTTGAACTAGGTGGTAAAAGCCCACTCGTTATATTTGATGATGTTGATGGTACATTGTTATAAATAATCTAACATCTTCATTTAATCATATATATTGTTTAATGATTGATTGAATTTTAATTTATATTAGGATATTAATATGTCATTATATAATTTATAGTGAAAGAAGCTGCGGAAATTGCGTATAATGCTATATTTTCCAATCATGGACAAAATTGTTGCGCAGGATCACGAACATTTGTGCACTCTAAGATATATGACGAATTTGTAAAGTATGCTAAACAACTGGCTCTTGCTAGAGAAGTAGGGGATCCATTCGACTCTAAAACAGATCAAGGCCCGCAGATCGACCAAGACATGTTAGACAAAATCATGGGCTTAATCAATTCGGGCAAACAGCAGGGCGCTGTTGTGGAAGCTGGTGGAAATCGCGTTGGTAATACTGGTTACTTCGTACAGCCTACAGTTTTTTCGAACGTAACCGACGATATGCGAATTGCCAAGGAGGAAATTTTTGGCCCCGTTCAAACCATTTTGAAATTTAATACCATGGATGAAGTAATTGAACGTGCCAATCGCACTAACTATGGTCTTGCCTCTGGTGTAATCACTAAAGATATTAATAAAGCTTTGGAATTTGCCCGAGCTGTAGAGGCAGGCAGTGTTTGGTAAGTAAACAATTTTATAAGAAGGATACTATGCTGTACAAACATAAACAAAGATATATATACTAAAATAATAATTCTTAGGATAAATTGTTACGATGCTATCACACCCCAAACACCATTTGGTGGATTCAAACAATCTGGCATAGGACGTGAACTGTAAGTAATAATTAATTAAGCTAGATTGATCTAAATATTATGCAATTAAACTTATAACATATGTTATTAATTATATTTTTTAGGGGAGAAGAGGGCTTGAAAGAATATCTCGAAATTAAAACAATTTCTATCAAAGTTACAAGAAATAATTAATATCCGAGATACACAATATGTCCCCTTAATCTTTATTTTATCTTTCTTATAATTGATTTATAATCAAGTTTTTTTAACAAAATCAATAAAACATAATGAAATATATACAAATAATATATGGAGTGGTTTATTTTACATAATATCGATATGAAAAAATATTCATATTTGGAAAACATGTACCAGAAAATTAAACGAATATATAACACATAAGATTGCAAAAAAGATAAAAGAAACAAAGTAATGTTTTTCTATTACTATTGTAGTGTTATTCTGAATGAAATTTTACAATCTCTTATTTGAAACATAAAGATAAATCTATTTTACCTTCATATAACATACTTGTGAAACTATACACGAGTCGCAGGCTCTTCATAATCATCTGGCGGTATACCTAATTCTTCGTCTGTCCATTTAGAAGGATCTGGATATGGAAATTCTCCCTAAACATAAGAAAATCATGGCAAAATTGTTACATTAGAGAATAATGATGTGAATATTAGAACTGTACAAAAAAGTGTGACAGATATTGGAAATTATTTAGATACTTACAACAATATGACCAAAGTCATGCCAGAAATGCCATAATACCCACCACCACATAACACCTCCCATAATTTCAGCTCCATATAGCCATATCTTTTCTACTGGTGGGATTTGGCCACGATATGTCCCATGATAATCACTGATAACAAAATAATATTATAATAATATATTAGTAAATTAAAATAAATATTGCAAAAAAATAAGAAAAAATAAGAAACTTTTTCTGCATTGAAACTATATGTGAACAACATATCGACAGACATTCTGTATTATTGCTTTTATTTAACATTTTTTAACATCAGTAATAATAAAAAACTCTGAGATATAACCTATAACATATAGAATTACATAATAATTCTACTTACTCATGACTTAATCTAACGGATCGTAAATTCGTCGTAGAAACTTTACTTTGACTATTTCTATAGCCAATTCTTAATAAATTCAATCCTCGTGAAATTATCATTGTGAAAAATTATTACTTGCAACTGATCTTACTGATCCTCAATCATCGTTAGTAAACTGCAAACTACAAAGC